TGTATATACATAAATACAGATACATACATACATACATACAGACATACATACATACATATATATGTATAAATTTATAAATATACATATATATATATATATATATACTTACATGTATACTCATTACCTTCTATATAGGTCTGTAAGCTGGCTAGAATGTACCGGCTCGACGTGTCGATTTGTGGGAGCAACAAGAAACGGATTGTCATGGTGCGATATACGACGCGTACAAGCCTTCCTGGTGACGACGGCCCATTTGCGCAGAGAGATATCGAAGAACTGATTGGTCGGCATATCACTGCCCCATCACACGCCGAGGTATGTGTATGCGTTTACCTTTCATATGCGTGTATTGCTTTTGCTTAGCATGTATGTCTTCTTATCAGGTGTGTATTACCTATATACCCTTATAATAAAGCCCAAATAAAGATGGCAGTTGTCCTGAGCAGTGTATCTACCCCATCACAACCCATTGCTTCAGGTGTGTCGCCGTCAGAATGCAGACCTTGTCACCTCCCGACAGAATCGCAAGGCTAAGGAGAAGTCGCGCAGAGCCAAGCGCAGCCAGGGCACACACAACGTTGCGCGCGAGGCGGGTGAAGGGGTGGCTACCATACGCACAGGACTGTCGGCATTCGTATCCGGTGGTGTGCTCGGGCCTGACGGCGAATACCGGGACCGAAACCGGGACAGCCAAGCGGATAGTGGTACTGGGCTGGACGGCGAGTATCGGGATAGTGTTGGTGGTAGTGATAGCAATAGTGATAGTGATGATGATAGGGACAATGACAGCGAAAGTGGCTCGATAGGTAGTGGTATAGGAAGCCTGGGTGCGGCATCTAGCCGCACTGATGAGGAAATAAGCGGCGATGATGAGGAAATAAGCGGCGATGATGAGGAAATAAGCGGTAATGATGAGAAAATAGGAGGCAAGGATGAGGAAATAAGAAAAGTGAGTGTGCGAATGAGTGGTAGAAGGGGCAACGGAACAAATGGGAGTAAGGGTGTGGGTGCGGAGGAGATTTATGGGAGGATGAGCCCCATGGCATTAGGGGTTGTGGACACGGAAGGAGTTTCGAGCAGCTCAGAGGAAGAAGTAAAGAATGCTGTGCGTTCTGATATTCACACAACTGGTGACGAAATAAGTGAGACCAGTGATATTATACGCAAGAATGGTGACGGGATAAGCGAGCCCAGTAATGGATTAAGCAAGACTGGTGACGGTATAACGGACACCGACACCGACCGAATAGCCGAGGATGGTATGGACAGGATGAGGAGTCTTGGTGAACATATATGCAGGTGTGACGAGATCGATACTCAGCTACACACCTACACCGCTGTAGGTGTAGCACACACGTGTAGAGATGTAGAGACACGTATTAGCATCGAAGTAGATACACATACACATAAACATACACATGCGCATGTGGCCACCCGGAAAGCCAGGAGAGAGCAGCACCGCGGGGACCGTGCACGCACAGGCGTTTCGACCGCCGTCCAGGCACGTACAAACACGCCTAGTTTAGATACCGAACTGCATATGAGTATGTATACAGCAGCCATAGACACCCACACACACACCACACTCGTACGCACGAGCGTGAGAACTGCGCCTACAGAACCCCACAGCAGCGCCAGCTCAACGGCCGGAGACTCCAGTATAAGCGCGAAGAGCGCGACACACGCGTCTGGGGTGGGCACGTTCGAGCAACACACGCGGGGCATTGGATCGAAGTTGATGGGACGCATGGGCTATGTGAGTGGGGAGGGTCTAGGACCACGCCACACAGGCATCCGCGTACCCATACTAGCGGCCTTTAGGCCCAAAAATATAGGGCTGGGGGCCAAATTGGTGAAGAAGTCGACGTGAATGCGTCTCGTAGTGTCAGTTGGGGTTCTGTATTTAAATCAACCTTCCTGTGTAGTAACTGTTCCTTGGACGATTTCATACGTGATATGTAGCCACGACATTTCGCTGTTTAAAATACCGCCGCAGGTTAAGATGTGGTCTGTGTTGGGATGGGTGTATAGGGGGTTCTTTTCAGTGTACTTTGCCTTATTTTAGTATTAAGCTGTGCTGTGATATGCGCATTGTCATCTATTATGATATTGTCCGGAACATCAGCAGCTGCATCCACCACACCCAAAGCACATCCTGTTGCCATTTATAATAGTTTTTGCCATATTATTTTATTAACTATATACATTTATATGATGATACCATATTATTGTATTAAACGATATTATGTTTTAAATAGCATATTATTTTATTAACTATGTACATTTATTATGATGATACCACCTACCAAAACTTCAACAGCTGCATCCATGACACCCCAGGCCGACCCTGTTTCCATTCAGCTATACAGTTTTCGGCGTTTTTATCGATCGCGCTCCTGCCCCACGTGGTTATGCATTCGTTCTCTGGTCTGCGGCATATTTGGGTTCCAATTTAATCGAGTTTGAATATAAATGAAAGTTCTTATATATTGCCATTCAAAACAATCAATTTTCTCAGGCGGGGGAGGAGGAAGGGGGGGGGGGGGGGTTGACCAATGGTTTGAAACTAAAACCAGGAAAAACTATAGAAAAAAAACAACGAAATCTACTCCGATAGTAAGAAAAGCTCGTGTTTTGATTGGCTTCAAACAAAAACAGATTTCAAATCGTGTTCCCATTAGATGACAGCACGTTTTTTAAAACCACTCGTTTGTCCACTCGCAGCGGAACTTCGGAAGTGCTGCCCCTCGACAATAGAAAAACCTCGTGTCATCCAAAAATCACGATATAAAAACTGTATAGTATTTAATTTCGTAAAACCAAAGTTTCTTAAATTGAAATGAAAGTATCTATCATGTATTTAAATGTAAGTGTATCTAGTACTATGCATAGATAAAGTCTCTATATATAGTATTATCTAGTGCATATATGCATAGATTAAGACTATATAGGACATCATATATAATGCATCTATTATGCATCTATATAAAAATATATCCGCATACATATATACGTATATAAACATATTCTTATACTGATGAAAGTCCACTTACTATATAATGGCTAGTGTCGGTACCATAGTGACTGTAAATGCCGACGAGATTTGGCCCACGAGGTCTTCGTCGTATTTTATAAAAAGAAACACTTGTATATATAATGTATCGTATATGAATGCATCCGCTTACTTGTACATGTATTTGTACACATATATGTATTTAATCACACATACATATATGTAAATACACACATACTCATATACCAAGTAATTCCTATACATATAACGTATCTTAATTCATATCTGCATACTTATATATTATAAATATATCTGTATTTGACACAAAATTGTACTGATAAACGTCCACATACGATATGATGGCCAGTGTTGGTACCATGGTGACTGTAAATGCCGACGGAAGTTCGCCCACGAGGTCTTCGTCGTATTTGATACAGACAAAATTCTTGTCTGCAGTGCCATGGGGTATTTTGGTACAAGGTCAGTCAAAATCAGGTCTATAAATAGGTCATTTATAAGCCAATTCGGACTATAGGTATGATATGCCTGGCTGAACTAAAAAAATAAATAAATAAAAATTGAAAGACATGAATATAAAAGAACTACAAATACATAAACTATAACATATTGTTTATATATATGGAAACTAAAGATATATATACTATGAATATACAAACTGTAAATGCGTAATCAATAGACATGAACTATATATAAGAATATTCAAACTGTAAATACATAAACTATATATATATATGAACTAACGACATGTATAAACTAAAATAATGTGACCTATATTTATAGAAACTAAACATATATAAATTATAGAAAGATAAAACCAAAAATATATGAACTGCCATCCAACAACCAGTGCCATTCCAAAATATCAGAATACCCGCGACTAACATTGACATATGAAGTACTTCATTCGGAAATACCTTCAACGTATTCCATCATATCCTCTTCCGACTTGTCCATTGATACAAACAAAACTATAAAATCATCCTTGTTGGTCTCCTGGAATTGCGCCAAAATGGGCGAAAATACACGGCAGGGTCCGCACCAGCCCGCAGAGAAATACAAGCCGACAAACTGCGTAAATATGTGTTGGTAAAGGACCGAAAAGGGGGTTCTCTAAGATTTTGGTAGTATCGCAGATGGAAAACCACATGCGCGAGAGGTATACTTGTATTGTGCTGATATCTGGATGTGTTCGGAATCAGCAGTCAAGAATAGTCCTACACACGGTACGCATACAGGCGTATATACTACTTTGAGAGTGGTTCGCAAACCCAATGGAGGCCCGCCCATCTTGTCATTGAGCACATAATGGGTTTTGTTTACCTTAAGAGGAGCTCAAGAGAAGCTCAAGAGAAACTCATACACACAAACTAGTATTAATAGATAAAGAGACGTAATGAGAACTATTGCTACACACAAGTTCCATCCAGGGAACACCCACCTAATCATAGACACGGAATAGACTTATCACCCTTAAGAGAAGCTCAACCACACACATACAAGTATCCATAGGTAACAGACATATGAGAACAAATATTACACAAAAGTACCACCCAGGAAACACCCACCTTATCTTTGAGAACTGACTTGTCCACTTTGCTACCACTGCAGTCCAAAAGGGTGACGTTGCTCAGGTCCGGCAGTGCGGTGCCTGTACTCTGAGATGCACCTAGAAAATGAGAAATGAGATAAACATATTGAAATTTATTTATAGCTCACAAAACGAGCGAACAATACACGCTCATATATATATATATATAGAAATATGACAATATAGACTTAGAAATGCATAAATATAGCAATATATATACATATATATAGAAATATAGACAGAAATGCATAAATATAGAAATATAGTTATATAGAAATATATATATATACATATAAAACTACATATACACAAAAACACACGCACTCACACACAGACACGGTAACAGACACAGACATATATATAAATATAAATATATATATGTATATATATATATATATATATATATATACACACGCACACACACACACACACATATATATATATCTACATCGACATTTATATCTATACCGTGCACATATACATCGTGCAATAAAATATTCGAAACTACTTTTGAACATAGCAGCATACACACGTGTGCATACCTAGAGCTTGATAACCCATACGTGATTAATTGACCTTTGTAATGGTGAAAAAGAGCAGTTTGTGAACGCATACTCACACATACGTACAAAAAAAATTGATCAGTAAACACGTGGCTCACTTGGCTACGTTACACACCTTTCTTTGGTTTCAACACACACACGTTGCCATTACACTCATAGTCTTCCTTGCTCATCGTCTTGGTCGATTCTGCTCAGCCAAATATAAATGGCGAAGAACTAATATTTAGTATGAGCTCAAGAAGCATGTCGGAGAGGCGGCTTAAATGAAATATAAGGCATTGGTTATTGTTGTGTACATAATTCGAAACGGTAGCAAACGCAATGCTTACATATTTAACACGCATAAGTATGCATCCGTATTCCCGTAAATAATGACAGCACACCAAGATGAGGATCCTACTTTGCATGACAAAGTGACAAGACACACACACGAACACACACACACACACACACGCAAACACACACACACACACACACACATATATTTATATAAATATGTATATACATACATACATATATAGGTATCTAGAGAGCTATTCACACACAGGAATATATATATATATACATGTACATAAAGAAATAAATAGATAAATAGTTACATACATACAGGATATATATAAATATAGATACACCAATAGTACATACATGAATATATACGTACATACATACATACATACATACACACTTCATAAATACATACACACAGAGTATATATATATATATATATATACATACATGTACATACAGAGATAAATAGATACCTACATATATACATACAGGATATATATAAATACACCAATAATACATACATGGTATATATATGTACATACGTAGATACATATATACATACATACATACACACATAATATATATATATATATATACATGTACATACAGAGATAAGTAGATACATACATACATATATACAGGATATATATAAATATAGATACACCAATAATACATACATGGATATATACGTACATCCATACATACATATATACATACATACATACACACGTAAC